GACCATGCCAATGAACGACGGCGGCAAAAGTGGAAATCTAACGGCACCTGTCAACCACTGTAATTTCCATTCAGAATGACTCAAGTGTTGGATCTGAAAGGGTTAAAAAAGGAGTTATTGAATTTTTCCCAATTTATGGACGTTTTTCTTGATTTGTAATAGTTGAAATGTCTGAAAAGTTCATACACTCGATTCTTGGCCAGTGAGCATGGGCATTGTCAGAGCTCACGGCGTGATCAGCTCTGCTGGGCCTCCACTTTCGGAAGGCCGAATAGACTCCAAAGTTGGGACTACCGGAGTGCCGTGTATTTTCACACGACACGATGACCATGATGGGCAGTGCTTTTTTGAGAGTGTGTTCCGGGTTATAGCAGGCTAAAACGGGGCTTGTACGAAGGCATGCATTTTGTTTTCAATACATAATGTCAGCCGTCCTACGCTTGCCTAACAGAGGCACGAGAACAAAAATTAAAAAAATTGAAGCAAAACATAATTCAAAATGCTCAAAAATACGAAATAGCCAACACATGAAAATACGCATCATATTGACTGTAATACTTGTCTACAGCGTACTCGAAAACACTGATAACTTCAGGCGGTTAATCAAATCTGTTCACGTTCTCCGTAAATGGAACATTTCTGAAAACGCTCAGCCGTAAAATGCGTCTACGTGTATGTTAAGTACCTGGAAATTGTGACTATAAGTAACTCGCCAGCTTCGTCATCCAGGGGCGCACTGCTAATAACGGATGTCAATCGTAACACTCCCACAATTGATACGAAATATTACTTTAGACAATATATTTTGCTTTTGTGATTCTAAGTAATCTAAACTGCAATCGTTTACTGTTTGTGTTACTGGGATGCTGAAACATAGAATACCGGAAGAGTTTTAAGCCATCGTATCCAGCTGACCACAGTCCCAAAATTTGGTCCCACTCGCGGCACTAAACTGTATGTGCGTGTGATTCTTTAGACAAAGGCGGGAAAGTAAGAAGAAAGGGTGTGGAGTACACGATGACTGTCTCTCATGTGAGGACACCTTAACCGATACACTCACGGGGGAACGGGGAATGAAGGGAGAGTTAGAAGGAAGAAAAGAAATTTGGTTAAAAAAGAAGGGGTTCAAATCAAGGAAGAGACAAAAACTATAGTAATGGGAGGACACGCTTCACTATGGCGAGTGGCTTATAAAAGTCGCTCATCGAGCTGGTGTCCGAAAAAAGTGCAGTAAAGGCGCTAGGGCAGAGAGGGGATGGCCCTGGCAGAGAGGGGATGGTCCTGGATGGTCGCGGGGTCTTGCGCATTAACTACCAGCGTACCAGCGTAGGTTGTTGTGGGCCGAGTCGAAGAGCTTGCGTAAGAGCTTGCACAAGATCAAATTGTGGCTCGGCCAGTGAAACAAATAGGAAGGGGAGTGGAGCGAGGTTTCTTAAAATTGTCAGAAGAAGTCTCCATGTGAAAGAAAAGCTTTCTCGAAATTCGCGTACGGGTAAACCCTGATGGAGCTTTCGTGCCAACATTCCAACAACACCTCGGTACTGATCTCCGAAATGACTAAAGTGTGGACGTCGATTCTGGAATATAGTTTTGTCACGCCTATGCTTAAAAAGATTGGTCGCTCAGTAAAACAATGCTTAATTTTGATCTTTGTAGGCCACCAACAAGCCGAATAAGAAAAATTTCAAGAAGTGGGATGAAGGCATCCCACTACTTGAAGTGCTGCACGCTTCAAGCAATACGCACGCAACCACGTGTTTGACACCTTTGCTATACAGGACGTATCTTCATCACTCCCTTTTCTTTAGAAAGTGGTGATTTTCCGTAAATCTTTCGTGGACAGTCAGGCTCCTCTCATCTTCGCAAGCGAACTTGACACCGAGGTGTGATAAAAACTTTACAAAATCAATAATAAATAAAAAAAATGATCAACCAATCTCAAGTTACAAAGAAATCGCTAAATCACACGAATCGTGGCCCCGCCGTGGTGGTCTAGCGGCTAAGGCACTCGGCTGCTGACCCGAGGGTTGCGGGAGCGAATCTCGGCGGTGGCAACTGCATTTTCAATGGAGGCGAAAACGCTGTAGGAGCGAGTTAATTTCTGCACCTCGGTTAGCTTCTACACTAGCTAACGAGCGATGGTGTTTGGGGTTCGGAATGGGCACCCTTCGATGACCTGAGTTCACAGTGACAGAGCGAAGAGCCGTAGTCGGGTGAATAGACGCTTTAATGCAGCACTCAGGCGTCCGCCCGGTTCCAAGCCGGAACCTCCGCTCGCTATTCCGCATTGAAACATCCTCTTTTTAACCCTCGGTTGTACAAAGGGTCTAAACACAAGCAAATTACACGCGGGGGCTCGCACCACCCCAACCAATCACAAAAACGCTTTCATAACAAGCACTGCATTGATAAATACCACGTTAGAAAATATAACACAAGAGAGGATAGAGGAGGAAGTGTGTCACACTTTCTTCCTTGTCAGGCCGTGCTGGCCTCCGTCGGCTGACCCCCGTCGGTAGCAGTTCTCACGCTCGAGCTCCGTCAGTTCTCTCATTAAAAGTTGCTTCGTAGAAGCCTCCTTAAGAGCGGGGAGTACACTATCAGGCCCTGTGCGCTGACCAGGTGTGCAAGCGACATCGAGGCGCGCTGCCATCCTAACAACACTTGACAATGACTTATAGGGGGGGGGGGGGGAAGATAAGCCTCTTTTGCATGCAACGACCCTGTCTTGGTTAGCCCAGCGGTCGCTTTCCTGTGCGTATTCTCGATGACACACGTGCATGCCAACCATTACTTCAACAAAACCGACCATGATTCTCACCAGACGCGCTTCCAGTTAAGCTTTCTCCCTTTGTCGTCGTAAACTGGGGCGACTTTCACTGCTCTGCCCATGAACCATGTGAACGAGGTAGTGTTTCTTTCCCGTGCGCGGGTCGTTCGTGTTTGCCTTCGTGGAACCAATCGGTAACGTGAGTTGACGTGTCGAGAACTCGTTCCGCGCTCTGCCGCAGCCACGTTTAGTTGCCCCTACCACAACACGCCCCTAATGCATCCTCATGCTAAATGCCCCTGTGCTCAATTTGGGTGCACGTTAAAAAACCCCAGGTGGTCGAAACTTTCGGAGTCTTCCACTACGATGTCTCTCATAGTCATATAGTGGTTTTGTGACGATAAACCCAAAATATAAATAAATGAAATTGTTCAATATTTATTTTAATCTTGACTGGAGGGTAGTTTATATGTAAGAGTGTTCAGGCGAAGGAAACATAAGCTACCCATTATTAAAATATTCAAGATGTTTATTTGTAGAAGCAATTATTTAAAATTATACCCTAATCCCAGCAGTACCGAAATGGAGCGGGCTTTGTGCGCGGAAGTCGGCAGGACGCATTTAGAAGAACAACGCGTTCACAGAAGAACCTGACCAAGAAAAAAAAAGAAGTCATCCTAAATACAAAAGGACCACTTAACATTGGCGGTCGTAGAGTTCGTTCGCGACAATGGAAGATGCCACATTTTAGTAGAATATATAAAAATACTTGTCTAAAAACACCGTGTGTTTGCACTGTCCGAGGGACGCAAAGCGCGCGATTCGAAGCACCGATGCCTGCTGCATGCTTTCAAGTTCGCGTAATCGCAGTTTGTCTTGCCTTTACAAATATCATATTATTCAATTTCCACCATGAGCATGTCCACAAGGAGGGCAGGCGGGAGATGACCGCCCACCTCTAGTCAGGTGAGAGGGGCATCATACATTGCCACCTTCATACATTGACCTAATAGAAAGGAAGGTGCCGTGACTTGAGAGGGGATGCGCAAGGTCACATCTTACATTGAGAAAACAGGGCGAGGGGAGTGCTGTGACAAATATTTGCCATGCCCCCCCCCTCCTTTGAAGGCGAAGCCAGCGCGTGCCTATCATCTTCATCTGTACAGAACCTTACCTAGTTTCCTTTGTGCGTCGATCATCGCTAACCAGCTAGCTTGTTGTGGAAAGCGCAGGTGTCAAGCACTAGATAATCAAAGCTTGCATCTCTAGATGTTCAGCAAGCGTATAGGCGAACACGAGTCATTTCTGAAGTTCTCTAAATCCTTCATTTTCTTTTCATAATACCTGACAGTCCAACATTGTCTTCGCACATAGCTTTTAAGCTCTGAAGAACATTTATCCTTGAGTATAGTGGCCTTCTAGTCTGTAAACTGCGCCATCTTGATGCAACGTTTGCAGCTTGAAGTTTGAGAACACAATGTCGAGGCAAGTTTTCCAGATGGGGTAGGATGCTTGTAATCATACGAAATGCGCCGAAGAGCGTAACCGGACACCATAAGTTTTACTAACCAGTCGTCATTCATGGTGTCCACGTTCAAGTCCCCGGTGAGTACTAAGGGGTTGTAGTCGTATTGAGTTTCATAATTGTGTACCCTGCGAAGCCGAAGCGGAACGGAAGCGCCGGTAAGCGGACCCAGATGCGGCTCGGGCGCGCACCGTCGCTGCCGCTGCCAAGCGAACACGGAGAAGAGGGAGCGAGCGCTGCTACTGCTGTGCCTCTAGTGGGTGCGCCTTGTACTAGAGTGTACTCGTGCTAGCAGGCTCACTGGCGGGGCTAAGTTTTGTTCATAAGCTGCTTTGCATCTAAAAACTCGACAAACACTTACCACCGAACAGCACTAGCTCCTGTCTGTTTACATCATCGTTTTTTTTTCTTTTTTTGCAAGCTTCCAGAAATAAGGTACTCGTTTAATCGAATACAGATTCTGCAGATGGCTTTTATTGGAGTTACAGGATTCGCTACACACGACAGACTTTCTTCATAATGAAGGCCAGCCCCTTATTACCCGTTTTTTACCGAAGTTCTGCAAATTTTAGGGGTGTTGCAAGCAGCGTGTTATTTTGAAACCTTGACATAACACTATCTAGTATTGTACGGTTTTAAAAGTAATATCTATGGCTTACTTTTTTTCAACTTTCTTCTGTGTTTCTCTAAAAAGCAGGTGCTCATCAAAACTGGGGACCACGACATCGATGCCGAGAAACGAAATGCCGTCACATGCTCCCCAAAGGCTCTGGCAACAATGCTGCCCGTTTGTGCCATCGGCTGTTATGACTTCCTCTTCATGACACGTTTCCTATGGTGCTGATGCTGTAACCAGTGAGACCATTGTTTGAAGTGACAAGTAAAAAAAGATACAGACAGTAGTTTTTCTCCCCTACGTTACCCTCTATCCGTGTTTAGAGGCAGTGTAATTGCAAATTTTACCCCACAACTTCTTCCTCTATACGTGGCATATACAAATGCTCAGGAGTTTTTTTCATGGTACTGTGAGGCTGCGAAATATTACATTACATCCTTAGGCCAGAATGATAGCTGAGCGAACGTCGAGTGCTTCGATAGACAGGCCAGGCTTAGGACGAGCTTAATCTGGGATGAAACAAAGCCAAGTGGCTTCTCTATTGATCATTATATTTTTAGATCACTAAAGCAGTTTTGCTCTAGCTGCGGGAAACACCACGTTTCCTTCGAGCCAGTGAACTATGTATGGACGTTCGGCCATGGAACACCAAACATTCTCGAGTACGCCCTTGCATTCTTCGAGGGAACTATGTATTCTCATGATTTTATTTGCTTCAAGTGGGCACATGACTGTAGGTGAAAGCGTCGGCACGGTTCCAAAGCTTCTTGCGGAAACGCAGACCAGTGATCTAAGTGCGGCAAAGATCGTGGACAGTCAAACGCTATTTGGGGCGACTGACGCCGTTCCGAAATATCCGTCCAGCGGCCCAAGCGCAGTTCTGAAAGGAGCTCCAGCTTCCACCGTGACTTCAATAAAAACAACGGACACTGTCGGACACCTCTCTGGCGAAAAGTGGGGCGCCTCCGCGAAATCAACGACCACTGATAGTACGAAGACTTCTGTGATCAGTGCTTCAAACGTATCAACGATAACGAACCGGACTGTGGTTGAAGCTGCCAGTGTTACGCAATACTCGACGGGTGCTGGTGCAACGGCAGCGAGGAACACCACTCAGCCACAAGAGACCTCGAGGATACGGTCTGTGATCACGAAGGCCCTGCCGGCCATGAGCGGCCGACTCATGCGGCGGCTCCTGCAGGCTGACATATCGGCAGAATGCAGCCTCGGTGTGCTCCACTTTATGCGTGCCATTCAGACCCTTGAACCATGGGCCTTCAGACGTGAGTATGCCTTGTAATTGCTTACTAAAGTAGATAATTGTTTTTAACTAAACATTGCATTACTAGGGAACAAGGCCAGGATACACGCTAACTGCAATTTCTAGGTTTCTCGTTGTGTCGGTGAGGTTTATTTATTAATTTATTTATTTATTTATTTACTTATTTATTTATTAGTGCCATCAACATCATCCAAGTGGGCAATATTTTAAGGAGTGTGGCTGAGGAACAAAAAAGGAGTATTACAGTCGACCTAAGCGCACGTTTGCGCTGTCGAAAATGACATACATTTGCGCAGCAGCTCCTGCGCATTCACAAAAGGCAGAAATGTTCCAGTAACGAACAAGAAGCGGAAAGATCGTCCGCCACTTTCTCTGCATCTTTATAAGCCTTTTTATGACATAGGTGCTGGTTGTATTCGAGACTTTGTGCTTTCTCATACACATGTCACGTTCGTGAGATTGGATATTCATTACAACTCTCACGCTACAGGTATTTTTTTCTTCTAATTTGTGGCGAAAATTGAAGAAGAGACTGACACGCTGTACTGCTTTTAGCCGTAGTCGGTATTAAAATAATTGTAAGTTTGTAGTACGTTGTTTACAAAAATGTGACCAATAGTTAAAGCAATTATTCACTGAACGCTATCAATGTGACAATGTGGAAGTGAGGTTGTTTTGTGATGCTCGGATATATTTCGTGCCTTTTATAGATGCATGTACAATGAAAGCGTGCAGTGTTTTTATGCATGTATATATGATATATGTAGTTAGAGAGGCAAGAAATTTTACGTCACGCAGAATTGCAGCTGAATGTTTTTCGCATACATATTGTAAATGCATGTTAATTTACAAGCGTTATATAAACAGAAGTTCACTTCTTAATTGCAGCATAGTCTAATTAATCGCCTTTATTTTAGGCTCTTCGCTAAGACCTTTAAATTCGTTTTTAGAAGCTTTGCTATTTGCGCGCATAAGGGGAACTACCCTTGCAGATTTTGAAAACAGCTCAAGTGTGGCCTCCCACTAAAATGTCTCCTTTTATACACAGCGCCGCTTAATTGTGACTGTTAGTTTTTCAAAGCCTCCGCTCACTACGTAAAGGATTCCTAGAGTGAGAAGTTATCTGAATTGGTGGTCAGTGTTTGCGTGGTATGTCATATTAATTAAGTATAGTAATATATAGATCTGTGTTTTAGTTTATATATTTCAAGTAACTGACACAGTTGTAATGCTAAGTTTTGTAGCTGAGAAGAGTTTAACCGTTAATCTTCATTGATTATGAGTTCCTTAAAGTTTCCAACTAATTTTACAAGCAATATTTCTATGTACCATTACGTTAACAGCACTCGGTTTCACATTTAGAGGCCGGCCTGTCGACACAAAAACTCTTGCACTCTAAGGCAAAAGGGTGTAAAAGGGTGTGTGGTTCGTCTTTTTGGGAACAATTGGGGCTGCCACAACCATTATTCTCTTTAAGGACTAACGATACAGGGTATTACAGTTAGTCCCCACAGACAAAGTCAATGAACTAACATTTAGTCCTCACATTGACAACTTATTGACTAACTATTAGTCCCCCAATTCACCTCAAAGGACTAGCATTTAGCCTTCACATTTCCACCTTATAGGGCAACTGTTAATTCCTACACTTAAACCTTACCGGGCAACTGTTAGTCCTCACAGTTGCACCTCGGCGGACAAACGGTTGATCCACTCAAATACTTTGATCGGATAAACTTTTCATCCCCAGTTCAAACATTGTTTTTTGTTTATTTTCCGCCAGGCCTACTACATTTTTGCCTGTTTTTCTGCGCAGTGAGAAACTAATTTCGCAGAGAACAGCACGCGAAAAAGTAGTTAGCCACCTATGTGTAACTGCTTTCGCAGTCACGACAACAATGATACACAAAAGTGAGACATCGAAATCTTTTTGTTTTTCCACATACACATGAAGTTTCTCCATTCTTTTAATGTGAATTCATGGTGAAGTGTACAAGTCCATGTTACAGCTTGGGCTAGTTGGTATGGCATGACGATAGTTAAAAAGCGAGAACAAAATGACGACACAGGGACAAGAAGGACACGAAAGACACGAGACACAAGTCCAGTCTCATTGTCACATCTTGTTCACTCCTTGTGGAGCTCCTCCGACGAAAGCGATAGAAGACAGGCATTGCAGACGCCAGTGTGCGCAGCCTCATGTCTGCTGTGTTCCCACAGCTGCGTGTTCAATTGTTAGGCACATGTGACAAAAGATAGTAAAAATGGCAATATTCATAGTTATAGTAAAATAGTTAGACACACCTGACAGAAGATGAAGATTCACGCATATATGACAATTACGTACACGTTTATATAAAAACATGCGTGTAAAATATTACAAACAACTTTACCTTCACATCTAGCGCAGTCCTTCTGAAGCTGCTCTGACGAAAGAGATGGATGACAGGCATCGCACACGCCAGCGCACACAGTCTTCAGCAAGGTGTGTGCCCATGGCTGCACAATAAGTATGTAAGATAGTGAGTCACACGTTACAAAGGATCAATACAAATGCATATAAAAAATAGGTGCAAGGTGGAATGAAAACATACGTGAGATATGGCATGCTAATAATTTCGCCGTGATGTCACACATCGTCAAAGACTCAATTCGATCCTTGTAGCCCAACAGCTTAAAAGTGGCGGCCGCAGTCACACCTCCGCGAACCACCGTGCCACCAACAAGTCGGCGACTCCTGTATAAGCAACTGACGTAGTTCAGCTCGGGCAAGCGAACGCGAGACCAAACACGGCGCTGCGCGTGGAGTGTCTGCCGCCAGCGAACTTCGAACAGGAGAGCGAGTGTATGCTTGGCCGCCGCCACGAACAGCGCCAAGCTGGTTTGGAGCTAGCGCCAAAAAAATCGACAGTGATGCGGCCCCTTTCCACATACTCGAGCGAGTGCAGCGCGCAAACGCGAGTCCGCCGCCATGGCCAACGGACGGCGCCGAGCTGCTTGCGACCGACTGACTGGAAAGACAACTGTAATGACGACCATTTTTCAGTGAGTTCCGACGCTATTGAAAGCCCCGCCAGCCCGTGCTGGAGCACTTACAGCGCGCGACATACTACAACCAAGCTCTTTACGAGAACCCGCAACGTGTTTTCGACCACTGCAAACTCAGCGACGACGTCTCAGCCTAATATCATCAGCCCGGAACTCATCGCAGCGGCGAAGACAGGCGAGCACTCGATGAGCGAGCGTATGGGAGGCCGACGGCAATGGCGGCCATTTTCAGGCGGACGCAAAGCACAGGCGAACTGCAGACGCCGAAGCTGACCTTCGCAATGCATATTGTGCGTGCGATATACAACACGACCGAGCCCGTTGCCGGCAAGCGCGATCCGTATCGCAAACGCGAAGTGTAGAGTAGAATAAAGAATGATAACCTACTTGCCTTAGAATTCAGCGCTGTTTTCTGCCCTGAGTCGGACTGAAGTAAATATCCGATAGGCCTGTTGACTTCTCGGCCGCCATATTGGCCTCCCCAACTGTTGCTGTCGTGTGTTGTTCGTGACTATCTTGAAGCCAGAGATATACAGCGCAGCGTGGTGACGTGTCGAGGCTTGCTCCAGACATCATGGGTGCAGCGAAACGCAAAAGCAGCAGCCCACGCTCATCCAAGCGTACACACAAGCACCACGTCGTAATTTTTAGGTCGTCGAATTCAGGCGGCCATGGTCGAGCAATCCGAGTGCGACGCATCGCGAACCGTCGCCAGCAAAATACGGGAAAAGACTGAGCCAGCGGAGGAGGACAAGTACGGCTAGTCACCTTGGCAACGCTTTTCGCACTGCCTACAATCCCCGAGTGGTTCATCGCTTTGGAGCGTGTTTGGAGTTTAAGTGGTTTGCGCGTGGCACGCTTCCTTATGTGGTTGCTCCTCAATGGTCTATCCGTTCATTGCGCGCGCCTATTGAGTTCCGTTACTCCTTTTGGGGTAATTTTGCCTTAGAGTGTGGCATGTTTGCGAAAAAACGTGTCCTCAAGGTACACACCATGAAAGTAGCATTCGCGTACATATATTCGCGCAGGCTTCCTAAAAATGGCAACACTTTAAGTACCGATGATGTATATCATTTCTAGGAATATGCCCTAAACAGTACCAGCGTCAGCTCACACCCGAACAGCGGCAAGCATTATAATTGGTGTGCGCGGTCTACACATCATCATTAACACTGCAGGCACGCAACAGCCCGGTTTGGCAGCACTGCGCATACCCGCGATGAAGATTTTCAATACCTGCTTGTGTTTCGACGCCAATAGTACATTTAAACCAACCACATGCACGTGATTTTCTAACGACAGCGACAAGCTTGCTCCGTCGCGTCGCGACGTCTGCAACCACATGTCGGCGACAAAGCGTGCTTGTTGCCTTACTGAAACTATCGCATGCACACCTATAAATTGTGAATAGAAGCTTAAAAGTTGATGGATGACAACATTTCAAATTTATTACGGTGTTGTGTTGCATAAGAAAGTCTCAAAAAATTTCAGGCCCTTCTGTTTTCGCAATCCTTCGTTTCACCGTGACACCATGCCCCGCAGCGTACGCAACATCAACTACGACGCACTTCGAATGATTATTTCGCATTGCAGCAAGCGCCCATATTTTTCTTACGCTACCGTCAAAACGTCAAAGAAACCTTTGATTACGAGATTTCCACCATACGGCCGCTCTCTCACTCTCCGCGTCAGATGCGAATTCAATGAAGGTTTAGTTGCTAGCTTGCATTATTTGAAGTACGCGCGAATAACTTATATTGAAAGCAAATTGATGATTTGTGAGTGTGAACGCCCCAAAACTATGATATGAATATGAGAGACGCCGTAACGGAAGGCTTCAGAAATTTCGATCACCGGGGATTTTTTAACGTGCACACAAATCTGAGTACATAGGCCTAAAATATTTCCGCGTCCAGCGGAAATGCAGCCGCCACAGCCGGGATTCAATCCCGC